CTATATATATGTATGTATGTATGTATGTATGTATGTATGTATGTATGAATGTATGTATGGGGGAGTGGTGGTGCATAGGTTAGAGAAGGTGGGCCTGTGATCAGAAGATCGCCCATTCACGCCCCGGTACCGACGACATCAAAAATGTGGGTGGGGTAGGTGAAGCACCCACACTTGCCCCCACCCTCATTCGCCCCACTCTGGGCCCATGAGCAAGGTCCTTAACCCCCATCTGCTCCCTAAACAGGTCTCTGTTGAAAATGAGTTCTCGTGGCTCAATGAGACTACCTGTATAAATAAAGGATAAATGAAAAATATATATAAAGGTGTTTTAAACCCTTCCCAGACTCTTGCAATATTCTAAACAATGTTTCTAAACTCTAGTCGCTCTAAAAGAGCACAGCATGTCATGATTTCAGCTCTCTGCCACAAGCCAGTGCTCTCGGCCACACCCACTTCTCTGCTGCAGAGCGGAGATCACAGAGCTTCTCCCTGCAGCTATGGGCTGCACAAAGGTGCAGCAGGTGCTAAATAATTTAATATATTAATATTTTAAATAAAAAATCCATGCTGTTCATGCGGCTCATCCATCAATGAGCCAATTGTGTTCCATGTCCAATCTCATTTTGAAAATCCACGAAAGAACGACTCTGCGAAAGTCAAACCGTGAAGTAGCGAGGGGCTACTGTATTATTAACTTGATATCAATTAGAAAATCAGATGAAGACAGAATTTAAAAAATATATATTTTGTGAGGATTTTATTTTATCTCATGTAAAATTGTGACAATGAAGCGATTCGGCAAACATCTCTCAACGGAAGCATCAAACCTGCCTTGCATGTGTACATTTTATTCTACATGTTGTTGAATGCGGGCCTTACCCAGTCGGCATGTATGAGATACTGCAGCTTGTGGGTGACGAGAACCACTGTTCGCTTATCGTCCTGAAGAAACTTGAGGATTCCTTCTTGCATCAGGTGATCGCTCAGGTGGATGTCCAGTGCTGAGAAGGGGTCGTCCTGTTTAATGTGAAAACTAAATGAGTTGCAAATAATAAAAAGAAGCATCTTCAGCAGCCAGAAAAACTAAACTATAAAACTAAACTAGGCAAATTCACAAATTAATTTGCTCCCACACTCATTGAGGTATTAAAAGCATTTAGACGATCTGCCCAGATTGCAGTTAATTATGTAAATAACTGTAGAGCAAAGCATCAGATTCTCTGAGTTCTCTAGTTTGGAAACTTTATTGTTGACAGGGTGTGAAATCTTTTCATCGGATTTCTGGCACCACTCAATATTTGGAAGATTAGAAATGCAACCACGCCATAAACAGCTGCCAAATGTTCATCTGTGTCTGGGTGGGCGATGCAGTGGATTTCATTATTAGATGGTCAAGTTGTGATGACTTGACGTCTTGCATGACGGAGAGATTCCACTCAATTTTGAAGATCAGATATGAACATTCTTGTTAAATAATCCTAAAGAAAACAGTCCCTCCTTTTTTTTTGTATGTGACAATTTAACAGTCATCACTGCAGACATTACGAAGCGTCAGGAGGGTATGAAGGAGCGTCGGTGAAGGCTGCTCGTGTCCAACATGGGCTTGTAAAGTAAATAAAACTTTCACAAACACTAATCAAATTCAGTTAAACTATTCTATTAGGACTGACAGATGCAGAAAAGTAAGAATCAGAGCTTTGTAATTCAAGCAGGATGGAGAACATGCTGAATCATGCAGTCATTTAAAAACAGACATTTATTTAGGGCTGGTGCACAATTTTCAACAATTTTACGAGCGTGCAAAACGTACTCTTTTGCCCCTTTTACATTAGTAACGGTTCGACTCGACTCGGCACAGTTATAAGGCTTTTCCACTAGTAACCGTACGTAGAACCGGTCTCTTATTTCAGTACCATTTTATCTGGGATTCCAAGCGGCACCAAAATGTGACGTCAGAACACTGTCGGTCACTGATTGGTCAGGGGGTGGAGTCACTAGAGGGGTTATGAGAAAGTTTCACAACAAGATTGGCCACTTGCAATAACTCAACTTGAGGAACGACTGGACCTTAATTTTAAGCTTTTAAAAACAACAATGACAACACCGTGGTCTAATTCATTCAACCTTTATTTATACAGGTTAGTCCCACTGAACCTCGGGGACTCATTTACAAGAGAGACCTGAATGCTAATGCTAAAGACCTAATGCTGGAGTGTATGCGTTTTTTGTGCTTGGTGGCCAACGACAATGGAGCTCTGCCAGTCCCCGACTCCCGCCAGTCCTCTCCACCAGAGCCTTGGAGCTCCCTCAGGCTGGGCAGGGCATCATCTCCGTGGCTTTGAGCCCTGCCTGTCACCACAAAAGATACTCCGTGCTGCCGATCCGCGGGAGCACGCGAGGCCGGGGCAGGCAGGCTCCGGCCTCGCGTGCTCCTGCTCCAAGCTACGCTGATCACCGCGGAGGATCAGATGAACTGCCGACCCATTGAAGCACACGAGGCCAGGGCCTGCCCGAGCACCAGCCTCGTGTGCTCCTGAAGACCGGACCCCGATCCCGGCAGACAGGTGGACCGGGACGTTTGGGACAGAGGGGTGGACACAATTAAAAAAAAACATTGTATATATA